ACAAAATTCGTCACCCGGACAAACTTGACACTGTGTGGCGTGAACTTCTGGCCTTGCCTTCAGATATTAAACCAAATTTCAAAGGGTGTTATACTGCCCCCATCACAAAACGTGAGGGAGATTTGCAATGGCGTGTAACGCATGGTGCATATACTACTGTTGGTTTTCTCGCTGGGACAAATTTTGCCGATTCTGAAAACTGTCCACTCTGTGGTGATCTGGATTCGCTCATTCACATTTTTATTGAATGTCCGGCGATTGGCGCCCTCTGTAGCTTCATTAAGCGTATTTCTACGGAATTTTTACAACCTGGTTTAACGGTTCCTTCTTGGTGGTTTGTTATTTTGCCACCTCACCACTCACGTTGTTTTTTCTCTCGTCAGTGTGAGAGTATTTTCCTTTTTATCCTTATCATTGCAAAAGTAGCTATCCATATCTCCCGGCGGAATAAACGGGAGGGAAGTGCTTTTGTGGATACGTTGGAAATTCTCAAAACTCGCATCACCAGCAGAACTAAATCTGAGTAACAGTACTGTCATGATTTATATTTCCATGTGTTTGGATGAGGCCGCTTTGTGCAGTTGTAGCTACTTTCACTGATGACCCCTGGCTAATCCACACCTGCTCGTAACTTGTCATGATCAAGTTCATTCGGATGTTAGGGAATTAGTGATTGGAACAACTGGCTGATATAATTGTGACTATGGAATGTTGGTTAAGTCAACGTAGCGTCGATAAGTATGAGAGTTTTGTCCCGACACAGAGGGCAATTAATCAGACATTATGGCGTGTTGATTACTTTGTGTGATTGGCTATGTGGCAATTGAATGTATGGAGGCTACGCCCTAAGCTCTTAAAATTCTCTGTAATTGGAGTTGGAAAGTGAATAAAACCGATCTCAGAGAGTTGTGGCAAACTCACCACGAGGCAGTTCCGACGTGGCGCTGAGATGAGAGGTTGAAACGATTTGATTCTCTGGGTGTCTTTGTTCGATAGAAAGGTGGAGAATTCCCCGAACCTGGTACCTGACGTGAAGGTTTATTAACACGACTATTAAGCCCTGACAGTACTTCAAACTTGTGAAACAGGAGGACAGGTTCGAATACATTTGGACCATAAATGACGCTCTTTGTCATCGTCATTATATGATTCGATACACGCGAATGGTGTTTTTGAAGCGCGGCAGAATTGAATGTTTGAGAGCCAATGCGAAGCTACATGCATCAGTGTAGACCAATCAGAGAGCTGATTGCTTACCGACAGGATTTTTTCGACAAATCGAATTCTGCCTTGCATGTATGCAACTACTATTATATTAGAGTCCGAAATGTCATAGAAAATGGTCAAAATTTGCATTTTTACACCGTGACATTTTTCCATATTGTTATTTATCCCTATCTCAAACTGACATATAATTTAGTGAGTTTCCAGAGAAATAATATTGTTCTATTACTCAGGCTAGTAACTAATACAATGGGAGGTTATTAACTCATTGCTAATATGTGCAGTAACATGCGCAGTGGTTTAAAATTTGGATTCGGCTTGAACTGCTCAACAAAAGTTTCTGCTAAATGCAGGACAAAATGGCTGATATTTTGATTTGAAAAATGGTAAAATACGTAGAATTAGGGAACATAATTCAGAAACTGGCTCAGGAACCATTTTTTAAACTTCCTGTGTGAAAAGTGTCAACAAGCTAAACATTTACACATGAAACCTAACCTTTTACTTGTGATCTTACTATATGGTCTCTTCATCTTTTTTGTCACTAGTGTTTCTAACTCCTCGAGCTCATTATATGAGATGTCGTCAAAATATTTGTCCCAACGAAATTTATATTTTCTCTGGCAGTTTGGATGGTGACTTCACCAATACCAGCCATTTTATGGACGATTCGCGTGTTCGGAAATCATATTTCTTGGTCCAGGAATCGATCCAATTGTAAACACCACGGAGCGTGGTTACCACTTTCTGGATACAATGCAGAAACAATTTCACACGCATTTTGCCGTCTCTCTCGCCATTGTTGCCAATGTTCGTTCGCAGAATTATCTCAAGGTCTGTAACACTATTCGTTCATGACATCCTTCCTTGACTGCACACCGCACATGACAATCATTAAATTCTATTTTATCTAGCATATACTGTAGTGATCGCGTCTAACTCGGAAGAATTTTCCACTGTAAACATATAGATTTATTTTGGATGTTTCATTTCATCGGATGCAAATTGTGTTTAACAACGAATAATTGATATTAAGCAATCGATGCTTCGCCAAGCCACGGTAGTCCCTGAATGGAACATTGCGGTGCTGAACTTCCTATTTTCGATATCGGAAAAGGTACTACAACAAACACAATTTTTTGGCGATGTTACTCCTTTCTCTGGTTGTATCTTAAAGACCCAATATGAGATACTTGTATGTCAAATGAGATCCTTTGGAGCGCAGCTTATGGAAGTAATCATCACTCTGCGTGACTTTCCTTGCCTCTTTGGAATCGTATCTTGAAACATACAACTGCATGACTTTCTAATGGACAGAATAGCATGTCTAGTAGGCACACGGTGGATAATAAATGTTTCGATAAATGAAATTTAATAGTTGTGTGCAAATTGGTGGCCATTTTGAAATTATGCAAATGAGTAAGTTATCTAATCAAAATCTGACATTTCTAGTGTCTAAAACACTATAGTAGTGATCTAGACCATGATAATAATAATAATAATAATAATTGTTGGCATGACAATAAACAATTAGTACAAATGTATTTAGTTGTAGTGGTGTATTATATGAAATTATTATACATCTGTCACCGTAAAGCCATAAGCTACAGCGTGCCGTGATTTTGCGGTATTTTACGGGGTATTTTCATCCTACCATATTAGGAAATGCGAATTCCAAATATGGAATGATTATACGCGTAAGCGTCCTCTAATAAAATAACAAGCGTGACTGTCCCAGAGATTGTCCGGACCTCACACAATGAAGTTCGCTGATTCTGTTCTAAACAATTTGTATTTTGGCATTACCATGATGTATCCTTGGAAGAAAAAGATGTATAATAATAAGGTTATTACAAGGATATCTCACACCGACCTCCGTTGCGCGTCGATATACTCCCGCTGTACTGTCTTCGTGCATAATTTGAGGTATCCTCGTAATAACCTCATATTATACCAGAGTATCAGTGTTATTTTATATTTTTTGCATGCCATGGTTTTATTGAGCATAATGCACTGTGGTATAACTATATATTTTTTGAATTTATTTTCTTATAATAGAACAGTACAATCCCACACAGAGTAGAGTTTATCTCACCTAAAAACACTATATAACAATTGAAAACTAATACAATAATAAAATAATATTAGGAAAGTACAAGGCTTATTATATGGGAAAATTAATCTAATATTCAAAATGAATACTTTTTATATCACGTGTTTATCATGTGTCTAGGCTAGTTGTTTCCCCACACACGTTTCAAATTGATAATTAATAAAATATAATGTGTACGGTATCCACAAGGTGTAACGTTATTATTTTTTTACTTTTCGCAACACGAACTTAAAACTTAAAAGTTTAATTTGTGTTTTGCGAAAACAGAGTTGTATTGGGAATAAATAATGTTTTAGCGTAAGAAATCGATGTTGCTTTTTTAGAAATGAAAGTTGTGTTGCTAGAAATTAAGTATCAGTTGTGAGAATTTAAAGTTTTGTTTTGTAAATCATTTTTTTTTATGTGAAATTTAAATTTTGTGCTGTGAGATATTAAGTTTCTGTTGCAACATTTTAAAGTTCTGTTTTGTTTTGTGAACTTCAAGTTAAATTGTGCTTCGTGTTCCGAGTAAATAAGATTTAATTTGTGTTCCGTAAATTTAAAGTTTATTTTTGTAAACTAACTTGTGTTTTGAGAAATTAAGTTCGTAATGCGGGAATTTAAAGTTTTATTAATTCCGCTGTATTTATCAGCTTTACATCTGCTTTAACATTAAATGAACCAATTACCAGACGGAGCAGGAGCCCCCATTTCCTGAAACTAGTAATACGTGTGTTATTTATAGCGGCATAACAATTAACCCAAGTGCGAGATGAAGATCTTCACCACTCTGGGCTTACACCTTACAAATAGACAACTAGGAAACCCCACACATCATAATAAACTAACGTAGCATTGGAAAGAGGCAGACTGTTTTATAACATTGTTCTCATGCCCACTGACAACATTCAAATACCAACCCGTGTCCAACCCGTGTCCAATATACGTGCCCTGCGGTATTATGATATAGTCTAAGCGTGGTATTAGTCATTCCATATCTAATATGAAAACACATTCATTTTGTTGAAAACAGTCGTTATCGGAATCATGCGAACAGTTGTAGAGCCTGATATAGTGGAACGTTATGAAATACATGTGTATTTATCAAATATTTGCTATTTATTCTTGGCAAAACAAGATTGTTTATTTTTATGCTTTGTGTTTCAATTAGACACTTGACCACTTGGTGATTTCATCCGGAAAAATTCATTGTGATGTGAATCTATTTGTTTGTATTTTGTAAAATAGGGTAAATGCGGTATTGGATTTTGAATTGAAAAAAACAGCTACCTCAGTCTTCACGTTCAGCACGTTGTGACTTGCACTTTCTTAGATCAAACACCGGCGGCGCTTTGAGTGAACGTTGGTGTAAGGCGCCACCAAACAGAACTTATACAGCAACGTTTGCCGGTTTGAACCGTAAGTGTTTTATTACTTTCCATATGACCGCCTTTGGACGACTTTTTCAAAAAAATGTATGTAATCTCGTTAGTATATGATCTATGGCAATCAACGTATTAAATAACAGATTTTAATAAAATCAAACAACTGTATTATTTTAGTAAGTTAATATGAGCATTAATGTGTGTTGTGTTATAGATCTAGGGTGTATTAGCATACGATGACATTTATTTAATGAGCTAGGGAGTCTTACACATAAATCGTGTCCATTGATGTGTTTTCCTTTCAACATGGCAGCTCACCTTAGCGTAACTCTCGTAGTCACTATAAGTTTTGTAGTGATCACCAACTTCATACTAGAATCCAGGGCAGAGGGTCTCGGCCGGGGTAAGTTAAACAACTTTGTAACATCCGTTTATATATATATATATAGTGTGACATTGCCGTTATGGTCGTAGCGGGGAGATGATCGATTGACACGTCGGCGTCCTTCGAGTCGACTGCAAACAAGCCCCGGTGAATGGAGATGGGTACACCCTTTTTATTGTTACTCTCTCGTCCTCGTTCACGCGTTACTTCAACGTTAATACAATATACCAAGTCGTCAAATTACACTATCTTTATTAATTGCAATACAATATAATAGTAATAATGTATAATTTAACAATATGCTATATTGTAAATATTCAATATTACCAACTTCACCATTAAATAAATTATATTAGAAGTTCTTATTTTTGACCATAGGCTCCCCTCTGCTATTTATATAAGATAATAATAGAGCAAACAAATAGAGTATAACAGATCAAGTATCAGTATTGAGTACTGATTTATATACTAGTAATAGAATAGAATAGAATAGAATAATGCTTTATTAATACCGTAAAGAAAGAGTTAACATTTCCTTTTAGGTTTTCAGATTAATAAAGTAAATAATAAAAGTACATGAAATGTAAAAATTGATTTAAAAAGGATTCAAAATTTTTTTGAATATGTCATAGTATGTTAGTACTGTAAAATCTGTATTCGAAGCCGCTACTTCTATTGAAATGGTACAATGCAAAAGAGGGGATGCAGCTTCTATTACAGCATCTACACATATGAGAAATGAATGGGTGCGACTTCTCATACAGATTTTATGGGGTAGTGTGTGCAGTGTGTACATGTATCTCAGAAATCCCATTATGTCAACTAACTGCATGTAATGCATATGAGCTTCACCGAGTTCAAGTACCATTAAAGTATGTATTACAGCACATCGTTCATTCTAACATATTGAGCGAACTATATTTAGCATCACTCAAGAAAAAGAAACAAAAACATGTTTTTATTCATATTGCATCTTTAAAGATGCATAGAATGTAATTTAATTCTTGTACATGTATGTTAATGTCTTGATTAGGTGTGTATGTTTATGTACCTTATATACCGGTATATTCTCTTTCTAGGGTTTGGTGATGACATTAACTGGAAATCTTTGGATGATGGGTTGAAAGAATCAAAAGACTTGTGAGTACTATTAATACAGTTCAGTTTTTTGCCAATGTGTTCAGATATTGTTTTCATATAATACTTAGCCTAAGACCTCTTGTGTGTTACCACAATAATTGTTGAATATCTTGGGTTATAGCATTTTTAAAAATGAAAAAATGAGTTGTTTCAACTAGAATTATTAACCTTTATAGGTGCTGTTTATACTTATACTTATACTTAGAGATATTTGTATTTGTATTTCTAGCTGCATGATATTTGAAAGAACAAGTATGAAAATTCAGGGATTGCGTTAACCCCATATTTTGCTTCCCTGACTCCAATTATTGAAGAGGGACCCCGTTTTTCAGGCAATCTGGGGTCCTATCTCTAATAAAGTTGTGCAGGGTCAAAATTTAAATTTCTTAAAATTTTATAAGTGGGACTCATCTTGCCGAGACACTAGCACAAACCCTGTGAAATTTTAGAATGTGATATTTACATCTGGTGTTATGAGAGATGGCTGAGTTATGTGAGTTAGTAAGTATGATAGATAATAGAAATTATCAATATTCATGGAGACATATTTTTTCAATAATAACAAATTTGGGCTACCGGTAATAAATTAATTGAAAGTAACTCTGTGTTTTTCTTAACTAAATACCCTAAAATAATGGCCAATTTGCAAAATATTACTATTGGGTATCCAATTTGCATATTTATTAGTTAAACTAATTTCAAACATGTACATAAACACCACCTCCCTTTCTCAATTAACCTTGGTATAATAACAAAGTGCAATGTACAGTATGTCTACATATGTGTGAACAATATGGCGGTATAAATTACATTTTCTGTGTGGCTAGCCATAAGGTGATTTATTCAGAATTTATTTCTATTGTGCTGTATAATAAATTCAGAATTGTTAAAATCCATATGGATTTTAGCATTTATACCTTTGATTTCAACTAATCTCACAACTTGGACATCTGGTATGAATATGTTTTCATATAAATAAGACATATGGGAGTATGGATAAATTAAATCCAATTGTAGGTGTCTGGTGGAACAAAACAGAGCAGAAACTGTTTGTAATTTGAATTGTGATATTGCAGTCTATTGGCATGTACATTCAGTGTTGTTATATACTGCCATGCATGTAACAAAACAAAATTCCCCAAACAAAATGGCCTCATATTGTGGTAAATTTTAGAGGTCTGATTAAATCTGTTTAGTATAGTATAGTATAGTATAGTTTAAATGAAATGAAATCTGAAAAATCAAGTTGAGTCTGCTTGAAATTGCTGCTTGAAAGAGAGGTCTTCAAAAAAAAATAAAGATTGAATGTTTCTGTTGGAAGCTTCTACAATTTCAAACTGTACACTGTTGTGGCACCTGATTCTTTTGTTTTTATGCTTTAATACTAGTACTGGTATGTTGTTGATAAAATATGAATTTCATTTAACCAAATTAGAAAATCTATAGCCAACTACAGTTCCTGTGCTCGGACCTGTATCTTAGACATGCCTGGACCAATCACAATCAAACTTCACATACATCATACATAATATTATACATATGCACATCAATTTGTTTCACGATCTGATTCGAGATGGCCAAATGGTGGCCATTTTTGTGCTACAAATCATCAAAATCAAGCATTTATGGATGGATTTTGTTCAAACTTGGTACATACGTTGGGCATTATGGAACCTTGATGTACATCATTTTATTTTTCAGATCCAATTTAACATGTCCGACTGGCGGCCATTTTGTTTTAATGAATGCAGTTTGATTATGATAAATTTTATATATTCATTATACATCATGACATAGATGTATTGGTTTGACTATCTGATTCAAAATGGCCAAATGGCAGCCATTTTTGTGCGAACAAATCATCAAATATCAAGTATTTCTGGCTTTCCAGTACTGGATCTTGGCAATTATGGATAAATTTTGTTCAAACTTAGTACATACGATGGACATTATGGGACCTTGATGTACATCTTTTTATTCTTCAGATCAAATTTAAAATGGCTGACTGGTGGCCATTTCGGTTTAATGAATGCAGTTTTAGTGCCATACCTCTGCCATGCTTTGACTGATGTAGAAATATTGACGTATATATTGATCATGACGTAGATATATTGTTTTGACTATGATTCAAAATGGCCAAATGGCAGTCATTTTTGTGCTAAAAAAATCATCAAAAATCAAGCATCAAGGATCTTCTGGATCCATACTTCTAACATGTTTATGTTCCAACTATATTACTATAAACAAAACTATATATCTTAAATTTGATAACTAATGGGGACTGTGCCATGCATGGCTTGTTAATATTTTTTGTAATCTCATTTCAGGGGTAAACCACTTATGTTGATTATCCATAAAACCTGGTGTGGAGCCTGTAAAGGTAAGACGACTGGTAGTATTACATTGACCTCTATGACCCAATTTAGTAATCACTGTGACTCGCATTACAAAAATAAGCGAACTGATAGATACAAACAGAAATTAAACATGGTTATTGGAAGTCAAGAGATTCATCATTATCTTCGTTTTCAAAAAGTGTTATGGACGTTCAAAAGTATTATGAACGTACATGTATTTGAATGTCTTCCTTATTTGGAAATTGTACTTTTAAGTCACATTCAAACTTTTTTTTGTTTATCTTAGTGATGTAAATAAAATCCCATCACTAATATTTCGAGCTATTATCGCTCATTTACCTTTTACCCACCAGACTTTCCCGCCCAAATTTGTCTTCAATTTTTGCTATTCTTCTTCAATATTTCTGGAAATGAACCCTAATTTTGGAGCTAACAGACAAAATTTGAGTAAATTTTCAGTTTTTCACTAAAAAAAATGGCTATTTTTGTCCCAATCTTAAAGTAAAGTGCAGACTATAAGTAGGACTATTTTGTGAATTTGAGATAAAAAACAGGGAACTGGTGGTCAAATAGTTAAATTGTTAGTACAGGGAAGCAGGGAAAAGATGCAAAATCATGAGAATAACCTCATATTATTTTATTAAAATGTGTTACTTTTCCTAATCGTTGTCAATCGTCTGCAGCATAGAATGACATATGTGTACCGTAAATGTATTAATTATTTGCTGAGTTTAAATTTTGCTATTTTCGTAGAGAAGTAAAATCCGCTAAATTAAATCCAGGTGATTATGTAAAATAACAACTCATTGTTTCCCTGCCAAATTTGTGAACTTAAAACCCAAGTGAAATTTCTCGAAGCATCAAAACAGTGAAACTAAATGCCTGTGGCCTCTGGTATGTGGTCCCGGTCTTATACTGGTGTTATTATGCTATGCAGCAATCAGGTTTTGAATATCAACAAGGTAATATTCATGAAAATTTCGTGTTACATGCGTTAACATCCTATGCATATGGATCGGAAATAATTCTAAGCATCGCGAATGGCATCTCACATAGACTCTAAATTCAATATGGCCTTGTGGGAGTTATTGTTATACTAAATATCTCAGTAATTTACTAACTCAAACAGTGATGTATTTTTAAAAGGCTGCATAACCCCAAAATTGCTGTTACAGTTTATCAAGTGACAGTGGCATTTCAATTACACAATAATGGCCAACATAAGTCACTCTTAGTGTATTGAGAACGAATACAGCCCCCCCAACATTATATATAGAGAAATGTACATGTGTTCCCGACACAGACAGAATATTCATGCATTTTTATGTTTGCACAAATTGTTTTCTTTTGAAATAAAAACTGCACAAATAATTTGAGTTTTGAATATTTATATTTTGTTATGCTCACCCTGTACTCAAACAAAGTGTAAATGAGTAAGTCGTATAATTTATCTTTTTATTTTAGCACTCAAACCTAAATTTGCTGAATCAAAAGAAATTAAAGACTTGAGTCAAAAGTTTGTAATGGTGAATGTAGAGGTAAGTATAAATATAAATGAACGTGCGTATTCCGAGGTCCAAGTGCATTAGTACTCGTACTGGTGTCAACCACTTCCCAAATAACTCGTACACAGTTGCGTTAGGGTAACCAGTTTATTCAAGAAAGCGGTGAAAACTACAACAGGATAAAGAAATCACATTTCAAATGACGTCATCGCTGACTGAACGAACGAGCGTGAACGACTTACGGAAAAATTTATGGAAATTGCGAAAAATACATTCTAGTATGAGACTCTAGCCCATAATAGTTATAGCGAACTCTGACCTATGCTGAACGTAACGCCCGTGCCTAAAGAGGGCGGTATACTGTTAAAAGTGAAAGGGCGTCCAGCACAGTGCGAGTCTCTCAGTTTCTATTTAATTTGTTGTACTCATTGTATGTATATCATCAGAGGTACATTACTTGGGGTTTACAACTACGGTGACATGATGCCAAGATCCCAGTTCAATCTCGCTCTCGCATAAGCGTTCCAACTCAGAAAAATGCGAATGCCCGAGGTAACCAGGATACTGAGATGTCCAGGTGGATCATGTATTACATTTTTTCACTATGAATGTGGTAATACATGTTTTATTGTTTTATTACAAACCGCCTATGTCATGTCAGAAGGTCGTAGCATCAGTCTCGCTATCTACGAGATGAGACTTGAATTGAATCTTGGCATGATGTCACCATACGTACCTCTGATATTATATATCTTTTTTTCAATAAATAATAACCAATAGATCAGCATATTACCCCCCCCCCCCCCCAATCACATCTCAAATATATAATACACTATTACAGGCTACGGTAATATGCTTATCGGTAATAGTTTAACTGATTTGTTATTGGTATTAGAGTTAAAACCATATTTACCATACTGTTACCATGTTTAGCTACAGCTGTTGGTGTATTCACAGGAGTTGCAATATGTGAGAGAAATGCGATGGATGAAATCTCTTAGTTAATAACATTTATGTACGTGTAGAAACATTGAGGGTTATTTGTTCTTGGATGTCATTTATAAAACCATAGAAAATATGTTTTTTGGTCTGCTTGAATTCTTTCTGAACGTTATTGTAAATAATCTGTGTATCTTCAATCTTGTATGTTTTTTGTTCCAGTAAGCTTAGAATCTCGCTTCTGAATCATTCAGGATATTAAGCTGCTGAATCTATGCTTTCAGTCATGATCACCTGTCCTACCATCCAGTTATGCTAATGGACATAGCTTATAGAGACACAAATTCTACTGTTAATTTTAGCAGAACTCTAAAAATTACAGCTATTTATATGTAAACATTTTTGTTTGAGCCATCCATACGTACATGCACAGTTCTGACACCAGCACTCATCTCACCATATTATACCTTGGCATTATTCCCACTATAAATCTGTATTGACTAATTCAAACACAACAGCATGTGTTCTGATGTCTTGTCATAGTATATAGAACATGAAAATAGGTGTTTTGGTGTGTTTCCATGAGAAATCGAATGAGAAGTTGAAATTTTTTATCAGTTAAGCTAGGATGTGGTGTAAGATGACAGAAACTATTGGTTTAAATTTAAATTGATTCTTGTTGTTACAGTAATGCTGATTGGTGGTTCTAGTCCTTGGTGCACCCAATCAAATCATTCAGTTTAACTGAGGCCAAAAACAGCCTTTCCTAACACAATCACGGTCGGTTTCATCAAAGTCATACAAATCGGACAATTCACTTTATGGACACAGTTGTCAACTTTACAAAACATTAATTAGACATCTGACATTTTTTTGAGAACTGTAGGTACTCCCATTAGTATCGGAATATAGTTTGTAGAGAGATATTTATTCTTCCCAGACGAATAACATGTATATTCTTGTTTTATAATGCAGGACAATGAAGAACCTAGTGAAAGCAAATACACTCCAGACGGTGGATATATACCAAGGATTTTATTTTTAGATTCCTCCGGATCAGTACATACAGAAATTATTAATGAAAATGGAAATCCTAAATATAAATATTATTATCCAGAAGCAAATTCAGGTTGGTATTGTAAACAAAAAACGAAAACAAGATTTTGTTTCAACATGATATTCCTTGAAAGTGAATGACATAGATCTTTACAATCCGAATGTTTTACTGTCACCGGCATATTGTTCCAAACACCAGAACAGCTAGGTGAATAAATTTCTGTATAATAAATATCACAGTTATCAAAACAAAATGTATGTACTGACACAGTATAAAAGGTCAGGACACAGTTGATGATGTGTCTGGTGCGTGTCATAATTCTCGTGGTTTCTTGTGAAAGTGGTTTGAACTAATCAATTTTAATTAAAAAATCTTGAGGCGCGCAAACCAGTCAGCAACTTAGCTGGCAATGTTGCTGTTTTGGTGTTCAAAACAAAATAGTGTTGGCAGTAAGAATGTTTCTTAAACAACTAGGACTCCCTCTAAATTTGACATGTTGCGAGAATTAATCCTAAGAATACTGTAAAATCTGTATTGAAAGCCGCGGCTTCTATTAAAATGGTACAATGCAATAGAGAAAATGCGGCTTCTATTAGAGCATCTGCACATATGACGAAATGGTGAATTTTTGGTTCTTGATTGTTCAAAAAGAATGGGTGCGACTTCTATTAGGGATGCGGCTTCTAATACACATTTTACGGTACTTATCCCATACCTATCCCAAAAGTAATATCAGTCCGTATGGACTAATGTATTAGTATAACTCCCTACACCATTTCAGAGTCAAGTTACTTACAAGAATGTGTCTGATTGGCTACACAATCTTAGCACGTAACAGTCAATCCAATCAGAGAGCAGCTTGTTTGTTCTTTCAACAATATACATCATGTCTTGTATAAACGTTTCACAGAGTTTTATTTGGTAAAGGGTTGACCATTAAAAAATCTGGGGAGGGGGTGGAACTAACTCTCTGAGAGAAATAAAACAATACTGTATTGAAGAAGAGAAAAAAAAATTAGTTTATACATGGAACGAGTTAAACAATGTGCACAGTTAAACCAAAAATAAGTGATGAAGTGCACATTAAGAGGAAATGAAATACCTGTATATTGTAGTAAAAGCAGACAGATGTCACTGTTCACAAACCTTGCTTGCTGATGTTTGACTTGCATTGAAGATACAAGCAATGAAAAAAAAATTAAAAAAATCTTTGTTTCAATATATTGGGTTGTTCTTGGTCGACTAATCACATAGTTTTAGCAAATGGCAACCTGGACAGCAGTTTACGTTTCATCGTAGTTCTGTGTTTGTACAGCTATTCGGTTGAACATGTATATATGAAAATACATGTAGCCATATCCAGATGTTGGAAAGATTCTTTCTCTATTTGCTTCTATGCTACACTAGATTAACCGCTCCTCTCCTTGACAAAAAGGCCGTCACACTGTGACATATTTTATTTAAGTTTTTGCCAACCAACATGAAAGTTTCTAATCAAAATGTGTGATCACTGATCATCAGTAGCTCAAAATCTGCATTGACAAGGCACCTTAGTTGTTTTTCAATAGTTTTCTGTAGCTGAAATACATGCAAACATTGGGTGAAAGGTTTCCCAAGGTTTGTACTTTTTCCCAGACATCCTTGAGAAAAATTCATGGATAGCACCCATAACTTATTAATTATTTTGTGGTCATGATTCAGGTGTAAAGCTATCACTGGTCATATTAATCAACTTTTATTAATTATGCCTAATGTCTTTCTGGTTTATTTATTGTGTGAGTTAGTTTCTATGAGTATAGAAATATCTGGGAGTCATTTTTTGTTGCTAAATATGCATACAGTTATGAACATTACTATGAGAAATACAGATTGAATATTTGTGGAAAACTAGAATTGCATCATAATCTGAAAGACAAATACCGGTAGTATGTAGCAATGATATCTTTACAATGATGTGTGTGCGGAGCGAAGCGGAGTTGACATCACTGCACTGCTTAAACTTAATATGGAATTAGTCATAATACAGCAACCACTTGATTTATGTTTTTCAGTGTGAAGACCGAATCTGACATTTGGTGCAGCTTCAAGTTGCATGACATATTTTTTTTTGTTATAATATTTTAGGCCAGACTTTTATTATCCCTTGTTTCGCGAACCCGTCGAATGAACAGGAGCTGAAAATGAAATAAAAATAAAATTTTATTTCAGCGTAATTGCTAAAACAATATTATTTTTATCGTCATTTTTTTACCGCCCGCCTCATACCAAATCCTAGTTGCATTTTCGTGGGAGTATCAAGGTTATACATGGAATAAAATTTTATTTCATTTCTACTCTTTGATCAATGATCTCACTTACAATTCTTTGAGAATCACACAAATCTAATGGAAAAAAAAATTAATTTTATTTTTTTTCCACCCTCCTCAAAAAAATTGCCTTATAAAAACTCGAGAAACAAGGAATAAAAAAAGTCTGGCCTTATGCCAAAAAAATAATTGTTTTGATTCTTGCCCTAGGGAAAATTGATGCAGTTATTGATGAGTTATCATTTTTTTTTTGGTATTAAGATTATTTATTGCTACAAGATACAAGTTTAACATTTTACATTTATCAAATAATGTTTTCCAATATATGCATTGAAAAGTTGATCAACAAAACTTTCTCTGAAACAGAAAACAAATATTTCCCTATTCTATCCACACTTTACTTTCCCCCCTCCCCAAATGTGTGAAGTAAGGCTTTTAAACTGACGTGTGCGATTATGGTTGCAGCATTTAATTCATTGCAAATAATAAACTCAAATAATTTAGAATATATTTGTTGACGCCTTTAAAACTGTTAATGGTTCTATCCAGTATCACATGTACTGTAATGTGTATATTCTAATTAAAAAAACAAACTAAGAATTTGAAGGAAATGTTGTGCCTACTAAGTTTACAAAAAAATAATATTGTATTTTAGGTTTTTTCATGTATATAAGGGGGTTGGCCATTAAAAAAATATATATATATATAATAAGTCTTTATTGAAGTTGTATGCTAAAAATGGACATAGATCAAAGTATAATAAAGCATGGTTGTCATTCCATGTCAAAAACAATTGAAATAAAAAAAACAACGCATACACTAAGAAAAAAAACGAAATAAAAACAACTTGCCTGAAAATAGGTTAGAAATGCATATTTATAAACTAATTGTAAAGAGTACTTATTTCGATAAGGCATATATAAACCAAACCCACACTTGTTTGATAAAGAAAAGGAGAATAATGAGTACAGCAACATTCTGAAAAAAAATCAAAACTAACTGAAGGAAAAGATAAATTTGTACAGTTGTATTGCGATATTTATGAACCAAAATGGTAAGGCTACGCATGGAAGGTTTACATACAGTCGCCGAAGCCTGTAAACTTGAGAGCGCTGTTATTGACGTAGTAAAGTAGGTGACGTCATAGAGTACTCGCGTATGTTGATTAGTTTGACCTATGACTCCATTTACGTAAACAAATCATACTTTCAGCGATTGTGTGACTGTGGCAGCTCACTTCCTCTACTGGGAGTTTTTTTTTTTAGAACGTTTTGCTGAATATGACCGCTTAGATGATTTTTCTGTTGTGTGTGTATATATTTAGTGAATGTCACCAAGTAAAATGGGACAAATTCGCACGTTCGCGAATCAATGCGCCAAACGCTTATATGGGGGCGTGGCGGTAGCAGTCTATTGACAGTGAGAGTGCGATCTTTTAGGCTCTTTTTACCTCCATGGTTCAGTGTAGATCGCACGGAATCAAACATTCCGGAAATTACACCATATTATAATTTAATAACGAATCATGGATTGAAAGATGTAATTTCCGCATTAATAAAGATCTCCGATTGTAAAAGAAAAAAAATCAGGTCGCCAAATAAAATTATTTGATGACGTCAGTGGATAGAGTCGAGAGGTGCTTGTTATTAGAAACTGTTGCTCGCGAGTTGTAGCTCCAAAATGGTATATATACGTTCCAAATCATTTGTTAGCTAAATTAAAATCGATTGTTGTGCGTTTATTTGAATCGGTAAAATCCGAAAAGCAAGCTCGTCAATCTGTACAATAGTGAATTTATCGACCTCTCAAGTGCGTAGTGAAACCGTTTTCTCGTTAGTTACGGGGGTATAGCTCAGTGGTAGAGCATTCGACTGCAGATCGAGAGGTCCCCGGTTCGATCCCGGGTGCCCCCTCCAGTGTTTTAAGCTTGTATTGTTTTATCATTCCTCTGTTCAATATCACATTGGGTTTGCCTTGTGTCTGTTCTGTGTTTTGATTAACACACATTCTCCATGATGTGTCCAAAAACATTTTCGAAATAATTCCATTAGTTTCAATTTATTTCAATGTGTATTAATGAAGTAGAATTGTGCTTTAAAATAAGATAAAATATAAGGGTATGATTTATCATAAGAAAAAAACACGCGTGTATTTGTTTTATGAAATAATAAATAAATATCATGAAACAAATACTTGTATGTTTTGCTGCTAAAACAAGTTTTATTTTATGAAAAATCATCTCCAAATATTATCCACATTGCATTTTAACCTTGTTTGTATTCTGTTTTTTCTACAGTGCTTAATTCAATGAAGAAAGCAGCTGAATTATTAGTTGAAACAAGAGCTGGCAGTGACGAGTTATAGTATTTTCCACTTTAACTGTCTTAACAATTATTACTTATTTTGCCAATATGTGGCAATGTTTTTACAAACTAAATCTGATTTCTCACACACGCACACAAAACCCACCAATTACTGCAACCAAGGAGATAATGTGTTGCATCACCATTTTAATGCATTGGAACCTGTATAATCAGCACAATTGGATGACTTGGAATCTGTATAATCAACACAATTGGATGACTTGGAATCTGTATAATCAACTCATTGTGAAGCCTTGGAATCTGTATAATCAACTCATTGTGAAGCCTTGGAATCTGTATAATCAACTCATTGTGAAGCCTTGAAAGTTGTAAAATCTATTTTCCCTAGAACATCAAGATTTGATTTAGTTGCTTTGTCTTTTCGTAACTAATTATATTTTAACTGCTGGGGTGTAGAAGGGGGAGGGGTTCTATTTATTATTATTCGTGATCCTGCTCTATTTCCAGAGTGGGAGAAATTGTCACATACAATAGGTGATTTTCCGAACAATTGCGAGATCTCGCGAGATGCATGAAAGACGCGCGTCGAACGTCTGCCGCAAAAATCGAACGATTTGATTTTGAACTAGAATTTCTTTATTTCGCATCTTACATTGACCCTCACTTAATCGAAATTGCCTATCATCAAATGTGGACAGCACATTATTAAGCATGGAAATGTCCCCGAAATACTTTCGCGTTTGTCGAATCCCACGCGATGTTTGACGCAACTACGACGCTATGACCTTTGTTTGTCCTGTTTTTACGTTCGATTTCACGCATAACGCGTGATTCTCGCAGTGTACGGAAAATGGTCTATTGTGTACATTTTGGGTCAGTGAACATTTCTATATATGTTGAGAATAATTTACAGCTTTGTGAACCTTTTTTCAGTGCTGAGCAATAATTGTAAGCAAACCATGATTAAAATAATTAAACCCTTAAGCCCCAAACATTTTTTTTCAAAATTCTGATTAATATCTGTAGGAAATTATAAAAATTTGGTCGAACAATTACGAAGAAATTGTACAAATGTGTTTTACCAACATTTTAGCATTATAAATTGTAGTACTCAATCAGCTAATTAAACCATGTATGAATAATGATATATTGTAACAATTTTTTAACAATACTTTATATTAATTATTCATGTACATGTACTTCCATTGTGTTTTTTGTGAAATCTCTCACTAAAAAAAAAAAAATCATTTACAGTAATTCATATACTGTAAAACCTGTCTCAACCGAATGTCATTTTCCAGGATATAGAAATTTTGTATATACAAGCAAGTCTATGATAATCAGAAAATTGTACTGAGTTTTGACACATTTCAGGTTTACACTAGATTTTGGTATGAGCGGGTTTTACTGTGATTGTCTGCATGATTATTTATCATTCACCATAAGTCATGCATTTAAAGTGTTAGCCATCATGCTGTATCAGATTCATTGCGAGTCCCATGTGATATGTACAAGGTGTGTCAAATAATTTGAATGCATATAGTGCAATAACTGTCACCTTAAAATAAGCTTAACAAAGTTCATGTTACATATTTTTACATGATGAAAATCATAAGCAATTTGGTAAAACATGATTCTTTGAGTTTAGTTTATGTTATGCATTATTTAATTGAGAAATCAATGGTCTCCTAGGCTAGATACCGTCTATAATCGCAAGATTTAAAAAAATCTATGAATAATAGACACATGCAAGTTCAGCATATTGTCAGTACTTCAAGTTTATGCCAGGAATTTTTGACTAAGGATTTTAGTTTTCTAAATGGGATTGTTCCTATTTGCTCTGCAATAATGTCAGAACCATTCTCTGCATACCGAGTGGATTCTGGTAATAATATTGAAAGGTTTACTTGTCTTTTGTTCTGTATATGGTGTTGTGATTTAAGTCATTTCTGGATTTGTAAAACACAATAAATGCAATAAAGTATTTAAATGTTTAATTTGTGTGTGCCATTGTTAATAGAGAAGGATAAACACAATCTCTCATGAACAATTTGTTGGGGTTCAGTCACATGACATTTGTGGTAAGTACGTCATGAAATATCATTTGTTACAATGCCCTCGACCGTTGATTCTGGTAGATCTTGTTTTACTTAATAAAATCATGTATAGTAATAATTAATTCTATCATCACCATATTCAAATCATGTATAAGATATACATGAATTGAAGTAAACAAGACGAGGCAAATAAGGTAGTTTATAGCTAGTCTTGTCAGTTCCCAGGGTACAAAAATCCTTCACCTTACCATTGTCCAAATCACAGGGTTTGTTGGTGCCGACTCCACCAAACTCCAATTTGGATGGGTCACCCGAAACAAACATTCCTTGGCTGGCTAAAATATTGTCACCTTAATTGTCTTGTAAATGTATGATTTTAGGTACAACAACAGATGTGAGCTGTGAAGATTGAGAGAATAGTAAATATGCATGATCCTCTAAGGTTGCAAATCCTGGTACTTTCTAACCCCTGAAGGTTGCACATCCTGGTACTTTCTGACCCCTGAAGGTCACACATCCTGGTACTTTCTGACCTGTGTAGGTCATATATCCTGGTACTTTCTGGCTCCAGAAGGTCACACATACTGGTACTTTCTGACCCTGAAGGGCACCCCCCCCCCCCCGGCACTTACTGGAAGTATTGTATTCCCATACAGGTTGTGTAAAAGTAATGCACCGGAAACTGATTTTAATTGAACTATGATTTGAATAAATGTAATGAAAGCAAAACACCAATCAGCATGCATTTTAGAAGAAGTGCTCCAGTTGCCTACATTTACAAGATTGTGCACAATTTAGATTGATTCATAATTTACCAAGTTCCAATCACATTTAAATGAAATATGGTAATAGGTGTGACATTGAGCAGACCTTATTAGTTTTACATTAAAATCTGTGCATATTAATTACCTGATTTACAAAATAATTAGTCAGTTTTCAGCTTTCCATCAATATCTCAAGTACTCAGATATCTTATTTCAATGGATCTTGGTACATGAATACAATGTAACTATCTAATTAGTCTGGGGTTTATGTATACATCCATAATAATTACCTAATTTGCATAATAATTTACTTTTCGGCTTTCCATTGATGTTTTAAAAAATTAATCACATAATGAAAATTGGTACATATGTGCCCTGGAACAATACACAAACCTAACTCGTTTTGGGTAAAATCTATGCATAATAATTGATTAATTTGCATAATAATTACCATACCCAATTTTCTACCTGTAACTCAAAAAAACAATTATTGCATTTCAATAAGACTTGGCATATAAGTGCCTAATTAGTTTTTGATTGAAATATGAGCAAACTAATTTGCATAATGTGCATACTCATTGAAATTTGGTTCATAGATGCTCTGGGGGTAATCTACAGACATGATTAGTTTAATGTTGAAAAAATGTGCACATTGATTATTTAATTATTTTTACCTAATTTCTGATATCTCAAAACATTTTGAATTCATTTTTAATATGTCTCCAATATTCTCAGCTATTTGATCTTACTTACAACAGTATAAAAAAACACGGCGTAAATGTCTGACACCAAGAGGGTGTAGCAACTGTAGAAAAGGAGGCCACATTGAGAGCTTTGAGACCGCCAAGTGGCAAAAAAAAAAATAAGTTTCAACCTGTAGGTGGCACAAAGATACAATAGTAACGAGGGGGTGGACATCCGGGCATTTTCATTGCCTGGCAACCCTTGCGGTGAAAACAAAGGCCAAAAAACTCGCAGAAAACGGTACTTTGGGATGCTTGTTGAGACTCCCCTAAACAGTGTAGCAAGATTAGCCCTACGTGTGTAACATATATAAATTTGGTTGTTCAGGATTACTTCAAAGTTGAGTTTGTGTTTTTTTCTCGAATTTTCACCGGATCGACCGGCGTTCCACAGCAGCGCGCACATAGCCCACTGCACGCATTGACGCTGCAGGTCAGCGTTCTTTCAACATTTCCGGTGACGACACAACGCCACTGCACGTACAGTGGTGCGCGTCTTTAGCTACGCGGAACGTCTTGTGACGTAGCTGCGCCCCCGAGGATACGTGGGGAAATAAGCAAAATCTGTACAGTGAGGTCGCCAAAGCCTCATTTGTAATAGTAGTTTATAAATAAATAAACGCTGCTCGGACTGATAAATATGATATATAGAAGATAATATTTGGTAG